CTTCCTGAATAGCTGTGATTTCAGGTTTGAACCACCAGACTGGGTTAGTGTGGACTGAGCTTGTGCTCCTGATCCACAATCTGAAGCCCGATCTCAATGCCTTCGAGCTGCCTGCATTTAGAGAGACTGTCTTCTTCTCTTTCATTTTGTTGTTTACAAAACTGTTCACTGCACCAGAAACGGTTTCCCATGTGTAACTGTGTCGACAGGCTTCAAGGAGGCTTAAGTTCTTGGCCTTTGGTTAAGATCACATGTATGGGTCTGGGCTTATTCCACCATGGGGTTCATATTTTCTGGTACCTGTTGAAGGTGTTTTGTTTTTAACCCATCTTAGCTTTTAAAGTCCTAGATTCTTCTGAGAAGTCTGCACGAGCTGATAGATGGCAAGCTGACTCTCTAGTTCTCATTCATAAGCCTCAGGCTCCTTGCAAAGTAGGAACAGAAGCCAGAAAAGCAGAGGGGCCACGAGTACAGGGCAGAGCTCTGTCCACAAAGGACGGGTGGGCCCCAGGATCGACCCAGCTGCAGAGATTAATGACTGGTGACGTGGCGATTGCACAACACGCTATTAATTTTCATCATTAATAGCTTAGTCTGCACCGTGGCACTAATTGCTGTTCAAAATCAGAACCCTGTTTCTGTATCCCCGAGGAGGTGGCCTGTGTACACAGCCATGCCACCCTGTACTTAGGGGTGTGTCACTGCATATGCCAACGGAAACTCTGCCCTTAGAAGCTAGTCACCGTGTTTGAAAGCATGGCTGTAATTATGATTTTTAAGTGTGTGGTAGGTGGGACAGTGGGCTTTAATTAAATAGACATCACAGCAGTGGTCCTGGCAGATGGGGAAGTTACTCCTGCCATGAGAAGTGCTAATTCATACTCCGACAAGCAATGAGTCCAAAGAGCAATTTTGTTGAAATAGAATTTTAAAATAAAAACCATTCCCAGGACTCTGAATCAATGTGTGTGTTTACGCCAGTAATTCGTACAGGCATAAAGCACCCTAGGGCTCTATAGAAAATCAGCTGGGGCTGGGGAGCTGGGTGAGCAATGAAGAATGCTTGCTGATCTTGCAGAAGATCCAAATCTAGTGCCCACGACCCACGGCTGTCACTCTACCTCCTGGGCATCTGACGACCTCTTCTGGCCTCCTGAGGCACCTGCACACAGGACACACACACACACACACACACACACACACACACAATCTCTTAGGAAAAGAACATAAGAATTTCCATTATTCGTGGCTGGCACTATGTGTAAAAAAAAAGATTCAAGTACACATTTACCCTCAGATGAGGTACTGGCCTACAGTATGGAATTAACACCATCAGTAATGCTGTTTTAAAAGGAAATTCAAAAGCAAAATCCAAGCACTGTTTCTTGGGAGTGGAGAACCTCTCATCAGAACTGATCCTACACAGCACAGATCCCAGGAGCAGGCAGACCAGTATGCAAACAGTACATTACTTCTTTACAAATGAAGGTCTACATTGAATATGTCCAGTCATAAGAATCAGTGTCAAATGCCATTAGCTGCTCAGCTTGCTGTGTGACTGTGTCCTTTGGAGGGGCGATAGCTCTTAGGTCAGCTTCAGCTGCCTTTTTTGCACAGGCTCTACAGTCTAAAAGAAACCTCTGATGGCTTCCCCGTGTTCTCCATGCATCTGCTTCATCAGACCAGACCCTTCATGGTGTTTCAGTGTCGGAAGCAGACACACTGGCCCTATACAAAACAAACAAAAATTAAACATCTATTTCCAGTCACCTTGATCTGCCAGTCAAGCTGCCCATGTGACTTGGCAACTCTGCTCAACTATGAAGGAAGATGCAGGCTTGTTAATGGGCTTTCATGTAGAAATTCCAGCATTCAATGGCTTCAGCTCTAACAACACTTGAGTTTACTTAACACAAAGTCTGGAAGTGTGTGATGGGGAGGTAGAATCAACTGCTCAAGGAAGTTAAGACTCTAGCTGGGATCTTCCAACTCATTATCACAGATGGCTGCCTGTAACACATTATATCTTCACACCATAGCAGCCAAAGGCAGTCTTCAGGGCTGTCCAGGGAGCCAGAGGACAGTTTCTTCAACAAGGTAGAAAATTCCTAAGTTCCTTCCCCCACACCCTTTCGCACAGATGCCCCCTTTAGCTGAAAGGGTTTGGAAAGGGAATAATTTTCCTCATTCTCCATGAGTGAAGGTTAGGTGAGAAAGAAGGGGAGGTGTGGGAGGTGAGTACCCAAGGAATCAGCCAGCTGCAAGATAGGAACACCCTTCTAGCCACTCGAGAGTTGCTGAGAGGAGACAGCATGAGGTGTACCTGATGGTTGGCCTTTAGAGGACACTAGAGCATCACCTCATGCATGGCTCAGCAAACTGTGGGAGGTAGTGGCATGGTGCCAACACTCAGCTCTTTGTCCCAGGACTGTGTCTTGAAGAGGCTGTGTGGATTATTTCCTGTATGAGGTTTATGGGGTCCTACCAAAGACAGTTCATCTCTCACCAATAACAGAGGCTGTGGTAGCTTAAATGAGAATGTCCCCATTTTAGGCATTTGAACATTGGTCTTTAGTTGGTGTCAGTCTTTGGAGAGGTTTTGGAGGTGGGTGCAACTTTGCTGGATGAAGTATGTCACTTGAAATCAAAAGCCTTGTTTGCTCTCTCTGTTTCATGCCTATTTGAAAATGGGAGCTCCCAACATCACACCTACATCTTGCTATCACATTCCCTGCCATGATAGACTCATCCTCTGGAAATGTAAGCCAATAAACTTTTCCTTCTATAAATTGCCTTGGTCGGACAGTGATAAAAAAGTAATTTCAACTTGACAGGATTTAGAATTATCATGAAAATAAATCTCTGGGCATGCTGTGTAGAAGTTTCTAAATCAAGTTATCCAACATGGGAAGACCTGCCATAACTGTGAAAGTCACCATTCTCAGGGCAAGCCCTATACCAAATAGGAAGAAGAAAGCTGGGTGAGCAGCAACATGCAGCTCTCTCTCTGCTTCCTGACTGCGACTGCGGATGCAATGTGATCCCTCAAGCTCGCACTACCAAGCCTTTCCCATCATGATGGACTGTGTGCCCTGCAACTGTGAGACCAAACAAAGCTCTCTTTCCTTAAGTGGCTTTTATTGGGTATTTTCTTACAGCAACAAGATAAATAACTAACTGTATGGTTAAGTAGTCTTCAGACATACAGGAGAGATGAGGGACATCCCTCTGATCTCAACAGCACATGCATGACACAGGACATGCAATTGGGTGCCGTCAGCTGCCGTATCCATGCGCTCTGATTCTGAGTATGCACAGATCCCTTTTCTTGCCATCATTTCCCAAAAGGTGCAGTTACAGCACTACTTAGGACTTTGCTTCCACCGTTGCTGGTATTTTGAGTAACTGAACATTTCAGCCATGTAAGAGGACAGTGTTGGTTGTGTGCAGGTTACCACACAATTCCACCTAAGTGTACTGTGAGTTCACAAAGTTTGTTGTCCTTGGAAGCTCCTAGAGCTTGTCTCCCAGAGACAATGAAGGATGACTGTGTGCACTTGTTATAGGGGACAGGCTACTTCTATCCCGGTTGTTCTCATTTCTCTACGCCTCATCCTGATGTCCGGCTGACGTAGAGAGAGAGATGCCCCACTGGGTTTGGTCCTCCCTTCTTCCTCCTGGGAACCATGTACAATAAACACCTACGAGTCCTATGAGAGGAGGGAGCCAGATGCCCAGGACTGCTTATGTGTGCTCCCTGGAGTGTGCTAGCTGCCTCCAAGAGGTCCCTTTCCTCACCCCAGGAAAGCTCTTAGACTAGGGGCACCTGTGATCCCCCTCAATGAGGCTGCCCATCTGTCATGGCTATACCAGGCTGGCAGTGGCATTGGTAGCTCCAGATGACCCTGTGTCCATTTATTTGGGCTGTGTTCAAACTAAGATGAGGAGAGGACTTCCAGCCTCTGCATCCATCCCTTGGCTCTTATTCTATTTCCCAGTTGGTTTGTTTGCTGGCGGCAGGTTTGATGCATGACCACACCATCTTTTTATTAACTCATTCAGACATGTGACTGTGGGCTCACATCCTAAACCAGTTTCTGTTGGGGGGTAGGAAAAGGCTTTAGTTTGGGTGCCCTAGCAGGAGTGAAGGAGTGAAGATGTTGCAAAGAGACTACCATGTCCCTTCATTTGGTTACCAGATTGAGACATACACCCCCACGAGATTAGAATTCCCCCAGGAACCTCATGTCAGGGAAGGAAAGGCTGAAGCCTGATGCTAGCCAAGTGGGGGGGGGGTTTTGTCTCTTTGGAAGAGATTTACAACCTGCCAGACTGCCAGACTGCCTTGCCTGAGAAACTGGAGGCCAGACAAGATGATGGATGAAACCACACTTTGACCATATTGCTTAGCTATGCACAACTCTTGCCTAAATTCTTGCCTATTTAAGCCTTCATTTCAGGGTCCCAAAGATGGACTAAGGATGGAAGGTCACTGGGTCTCTGTTCCTCTTCCCAATGTGGCCACATTAAATGAACCTTGTTCTTCTGCTTTTCATTGTTGTGTCTTTAGTAACCACCACCACCCAGGATCAGAGACTAATCCTGGTTTGTTAGATTGACAACTCTAGTGGCATTGGAAGATGGGTCTCAGCTCTTGGTCACTCCCTCTTCCCTCGAATGTCTGAGGAGCACCCATGGGGATCACTCATGAAGCACTTGTGCTGGAAGCTTGTGAGGTCCCTCAGCATGACCCTGAGACCTCTGTCCGTGGTCCCAACACCAGTGACAACCAACAGTACTGCATCAGCTATAGGATGCATCTACTATACCCACTTTACCCTCCCTCCTGCCTCCCTTATACAGTTCCACCTAAGGGTTGATCTATGGCAAGGAATCAGTAGCCAACATATTACATTTGACTATCAGAGAGAGGAAAATGGCAAAACGGCTTGTATTTTTTTTTAAGAATGAAGAACACAGAATAGCATTCACATCTTTTAATTCTCAGGCCGAATTTGAGTTCTAAAAGTCAGAGAGGTTGAACAGTGTCACCAGGCCAGATCCAGCCACAGAACAGGTGTATATGCAGTGGGTGGGCCAGATGGCTCTGGTTCCCAGATGCAGGTGGTGGTGCCAAGTCTGGATGCAACCAGCTCTCTCAGATGGACTCTAGAAAGGACATTCCTCTAAAAGGAGAAGAGCAGACAAAAGATACTCATGAGTGTTGTCTTTCTCTTTAAACAGATGTAGGGAGCTTTGAATCAAAGTGACAATAGGGAAATTCTTCATGAAATACAAATTGTTAGGACTCAGGAAATGGCTTAGTTGGCGAAGTGATCGCCTTGCAAGCAAGAGGATCTGTGTTCGATCCCCAGCTTCATATAGGAAGGTGCAACTTGTAAATGCTTGTAATCCCAGGACTGTGGAGATGAAAAGAGACAGGAGGGTCCCTGAGGCTTGCTCCCCAGGCCTTCTACTCATCCCAGTGAGAGACCCAGGAAAGAGGGTGGATGGCTCCTGAGCAATGATGCATGAGGTCAACCTCTGGCATGCACACAACCACTTACACAAATGCACACAGAGAAGCTGGCTTGGCAATGTCTTGCCATCCCCTTCACTCCTGCTCTAGTGAGCATTTTCCAAGGACGTAGCTTGGTTTAGACTTGACAAACTGCCAAATAAAAGTGGTTCCCTCCATTGCCAGATATCAGCCCTGGTCTTTCACCCCTAGACCAGGATTCCTCCATGTCACAGGCATCCAGGGACTGCCAGACTGGTAAAGACCCACCAGTGACACAGAGTCTCATCCAGTTCTCCTACGAACCAAATCCTCATCCCCTGTTGAGAAGTAACTATACCTTCTGGAGGGTTTTCGATGGCTAGAGGTTGGAAGCACCATGGAAATCCCCGGATAGTGTCATCGAAACAGCAACCTCTTTCCTTGCACTGCTGGGAGGTGATGCCGGAGAAGCCACAATTTATCCTTTCTCGGGGAGTCATGGTACATGTTTCTAAAAAGGAAGACAAAAAGCAGAGGAAAGTCATGGGCTAGATTCCTGAAGTTGTCCACACTCTTGGAAGCTTCCTTTTCTGAGGAAACAGGACACAGCCAACTGGTATCCAGGTTTGAATATGCAAGAGGATACGATCCTCATTTGCAGATGCAGGAAGACTGATGCTGGAGTTAGTTCCAGGGCCCAGGTTTGCACAGCTCCACCTGTTAGGTGATGGATGTACTGTCCACTTATTAGCTTCGGCACCTGGTCAGTGAACTGTACTTGCCTAGTAAATGAACACTGAGCAGTGTGCATTCTGGCTACATGTAGGAACTGGCTTGGCAAAAGCCAGACACTGTGCCTGGTGACAGAATACAAAGATGAAAACAGAAGTCTTATGGCAGCCTCCTTCCTTTTGTGCCAAGGAGCTGGTGAGCATTCCCAAGGATATATCTTTGCTTCAGGCTTGACAAACAGCCAAGTAAAAGAGGACCCCTTGTCAGATTTTCAACTCTCTACACTAGACCTGGATTCAGAGACTCACAGACCCATGGAGGACGTGCACCACACAACACAAACTTCCAGTGTGCAGAAAGGATAAGCATGGGGATGGTGGTAACACTCGTGGTGGTGGGGGGGGTTACAGTGAGGGGAGCAAGCAGGGTGGGTGGGGCGTGTGGAGAACCATAAGACTAAACAAAGCTGAGACAGTTCTTCATTAGAGAAGGCTGAGTGGATGACACTAGGTGTCCCAAGCACATATCAGTGTCCCAAGGCCTGGGCGTCCATCAGGACCTGATGGGAGATGTCATTCTGTAAATATGTTTCTCTTATTGAGTAATGAATAAAGCATTGTTGGCCAATAGGAAAGCAAGATAGGCAGGACTAGGAGACAAGGAGGATTTAGGGGGAAGTAGGAAAAGATTCAACATGTAGAGACTTGAGAGAGCAGAGATCCTGACCCTCTCTCCAGTAAGATAAGACCACGTGGAAATACTTAGAGTAATACTTAAGACAGAGCTAGCCAATAAGAAATGCTAGTAACAGGCCAACCGCATTATATCTAATACAGCGTCTCTGTATGTTAGTTGAGGCTGGTGTGGCTCTGGGACCAGGATGGGGGGGGGGAGGAAACTACTCATAACAAGGACCAGCTTCCAGGGCTGTTTTATTGTGGGGCTCTACTGAACCATTCTCAAAGATCTTGCTCCTGTCTTTCAGGATAAGGTCAGGACCTGTCAGCCACTTACTGGTGGCCTCTGAGGGGGCACCAGCCTCCAATCTGAGGTTCTATTATAAAGCTAAGGTGACCACTGGCAGCCCATTAGAACAGTCAGGGGTCACAAGAAGACCTTACGCCCTAGAGAATCAGCATCCAGGAAAGGAGGGATGTTTCTGCTCTCCTGGGGTCTCTGACTCCCTTTCCCAGCAGGGTTTAAAGATCTCTGCCCTGCTCATACATCTGTGCTCACATGAGGGAATTATTGAAAGCCAAGTTCCCTTCAGGATCCACACAGGCAGCCACTATATTCTATAGGATATATCTTTACATATCTATAGATGTATCTGTATAGAAACATCATTGACATCAGGTGACCCAGAAACAGATGTTGAGTCCTGGTCCAGGGAATGGGGTAGAGGAAAGCAGGGAGGCTGAATGATGAATGGAACTGGGGGGCTGGAGAGAGCACAGAACAGCAGAGGGGGGTATCCCTCACCCTTCACTGTCTACTGCAAAGCCACTTCTCCCTCAGGTTCATCCCTGCTGGCTCCTTGTTCCCTTCCACAGGCTGGTGCAGAGGGGTCTAGGCAGTGACCCCTGCGCTCCCAACTACCTGCTTTCACCAAAGGGACACAGAAGGTGCTGGAAAGTAAGCAGAATGTTCTTAACTTTTCTCTCATGCTTGTAGAAATCCTACACTTGGAAACTTCCTGTTCCCTCTTCATTAACGCTGTGTCTAAGAATCAAGCGCTCTTTACAGCCAGGCGAGTGCGGCTCCCACAAGGCCACTGTCTCACCCCTGTGTGACACTATTCCCATTCCACAGGCAAAGCAGCTGAGACAAGGTCACAGGTCACAAGACCCTCCATCCCCAGAAGGGTTGAGGGCCAGGTGGATGACACAGGGCTTCAGGAAGGAGTTGAATCTCAGAGCTGGGTGTATCCTAGGGACCCAGGGCCCCACGATATGGATAGATCTATTGAAGGCTCAGTCACAAATACTTGGGCAGGGCTGCCTGCCAGGGGGAGGCTGGCAGGGGCTTGTGGAAGTACTGGGCCTCGCTCTAAACATTGCGTTTGGAGTTGAGGCTCTAAGAACACGACATTGACATCAATAAGGGAAGGGGGAACCTAGCCGCAAAAGCTCCATTCTCCCTGCACCCTCACAGGTCCCAGAGCCCCACCTCACTGCTCCATACTTCTCTGCTTTTATGACCTTATAAGCAGGATAATGGCCTTCAAGGGCCCAGATTGGTAGCTGCACAGGGGAAGGCTGGGAATAAAAGATCACAACAGCCTTTGGGCCCAGTGTCTGGCTGTAGTCAGCAGGAAACAAGAGGACTCGACTCACCTGCCTGGCCCTGGGCGAGGCTGCTGAGGGCCAGCATAAGGACCATAGCGAGGACACAGGTCACCTTGTGCTCCATGGCAGCTTCACAGGAAGGACCACGAGTGACAGATGAGCCACTGCCCGAGTTCTTGGCTTTATACTGCTGGCCTGTTTGCCTAGAGTGAGATGGCGTTTGCCAAAGGAGGGTCCACGCTGATTAAGATTACAAGGTGTTTCTGAGATGCAGTCACGGGCTGAGAGTGCGATAGAGAAGGCCAGTCCCTCTCATAAGATACACTGGGTAGCCATGTATCTCCCCTGGCGTGGCCTTGATCCAGACCCGGGTGGTATTAGCCAAGCCCTCCTGCTAGGTTAACATCACTTCCTCAGCCAGACCTGATTCACGGCAAGAGAGCACAGGAAGGGCCTGTCCCAACAGTGCCCCTTCCAAGTGATCCAGGAAGAGCCACTGAGCCCCCCACTGCTGGCCCTAACCCTTCCAAAGTGGGCATGTGCATGGTGTCAGCTGCTTGGAGGATCCAGGTCACCTTGGCAGGAAGTGTGTGGCTGGACAAGGGAAATAATGAATGGGCTAGCTCCCCGCTGGCATGGTTCTTTCCACTGCAGGGGAGAACTTCTAGGCTGCATCTTTCCAGTATTCACTCCATCCTTATGCATGCTTATGTGAGCAAGATATTCTTAGGTCCCTCACTGAGAAAACCTGCTGGGGGCTGTCCCAGTGTCCCAGTGACAACTCTGGACTCTGAAAACTTGGCCAGCACACAGATTCCTTATCAAGGCACTGCACATGCATCTTGAGCTCACCTAAATGATTCCTTTTTTTTTTTTTTAAGCGTTCTTTTTACTTTTATATTTAAGACTAGAAAGGCATATTGTAGATATCATGGCCATGGACTGTCATTCCATTCGCAGTAGAGCCCTTTTAGAAAGGAAAAGAAGGAAGGGAAGCAATCATACACAAGAGCTAAATGGGAAGCAGACACAGTGTGCTCGCCCTGTCCTCCAGCTGCTGCCTCCATGTCCCAAAAGGCATTCCACCTCCTGGGTCTGTAAGAGGATGCCCTGTCCCCAGTGCTCTGACTCACCCTCCACCTCTGCTTTCATTATTGATTTCATGATCTAGCGCATGCAGCCACTCCGTATATCTGCTCATTATATACCCCTCCCCTAGGCTGGAAGGTTCGTGAGAGCAGGGACTTTGTTCTTGGAGTGGCCCAGCTCCAAGGCCACAGCTTCAATAGGCATCAATGGCAGCTGTGAAGACTGGAAGGAAGGAAGGAAGGAAGGATGGAAGGGAGGGAAGGAGGGAGGGAGGGAGGGAAGGAGGGAGGGAGGGAGGGAGGGGGGGGAACGGAGGGACGGAAGGAGGAGAAAGAGACCACAGCAGAAGTGCTTTTCCTTTGCTAGCCTAGAAGAGGATCTTACTAAGTAAGCCCCCAGAGACCCTCAGGGAGGAAAGCAAGGGTAAGAGTTGAACTCCAACCCCAAGGGATCCTATGCCCTCTTATAGCCTCCAAAGGCACCATGAACACACGTGGTACACAGACATTCATGTAAGCAAAGCATGCACACACATTAAAAACCTAAATATTTTTAAATTAAAAAAAATCAAAACACTAATGACAGAGGTAGCATACGAACTAGGTCTACTACTCTTACATGGACACCCAAAGAACTTGAGGTCAACACACCACAGAGATACCTACACATCTGCATTTAATGAAGCACTAGAAATAACCATGACACAGATCAACCATGGTGTCTATCAATAGACGAGTAGGTAAAGAAATGTCATATACACTACAAGGCTTATGTAGTCATAAAAAGGGTGATATTTTGTCATTTGCAGGAAAGTAAAGGAGACTAGAGGTCAGTGTAAGCAAGAAGTCAGGCTCGGGAGATTCAAGTTTTCTTCTATTTGTAAATGCTAGATTTTATATACATATGTAAAATCACACACACACACACACACACACATGTACATACAAATATGTGACATTAAGAGGAGCAAAGGACTAGGGAAGGAGAGGGAAAAAGGGGTGAACAGAGTCTAGTACAGGGCACACCTGTATTAGAATGCCTGTGAAACCATAACTACAAATGGATATATGCCAATTTAAAAGTGTTAAGTCCCCTATCATCTGTGGAAGGAGAATGAAGTGGAGGACACCATGTTCATAGAAATGAGCCCCGTGCAGAAAGACAAACACTGCAGGTTCTCACTCACGTGTAGAAGCTGAACAGTTGATCTCACTGTGGTGACCAAAGGCACAGGGGCTGGCTAGAGTGTCGGGAGGGAGGGTTGGGGAGGGTGGATGAAAGGCATGGGGAGCAGTTAGAGGGGAGATTCTTAGACACACAGTAGGCCAGCCACAGCCGATAATAGTTGAGTGAACCTGGTATTGTTGACTATGACAGAAAGATGATGGTGTCAGGTGACAGATATGCCAGTTGCCTCCATCTCATCATTGCACAGATGAAGCACTCCTGAAACATCACACTGCACCCTGTAAACATGCAAAATTACTGTGTGGATTTAAAACAAGCTATGCAGCTGGGAAGAGAGCAAAGTATGTGCTGTGTAAACATAAGGACCTGGGTTTGGATCTCCAGCACCTATGTAAACAGCCAAGGCTGAGCTGATGTGGGATTCAGAGTTCCTCAGCAAGAATGGGAGCCAGATCCCTGAGAGAGGGCCCTAGAGCAGTGGTTCTCAACCTATGGGTCATGACCCCCTTTGACTTTCCAGTGACCCTTTCACAGGGGTCGCCTATGACCATCAGTAAACACAGATATTTACATCGCGATTCATAACAGTAACAAAATTACAATTAGGAAGTAGCAACAAAAATAATTTTATGGTTGAGGATCAGCACAACATGAGGAACTGTGTTAAACTGTTGCAGCGTTAGGAAGGATAAGAACTACTGCCCTAGAGTGAGGCTGTGAGGCCGTTTGCAGGTGCCGGCACTATATTGTAGCTTTGACCTCCAGCAGCGGATCCAGCTGCTGATGTGTGTGAGGCCGTTTGCAGGTGCCCACACTATACTGTAGCCTTGACCTCCAGCAGCTGACAGTGTGTGAGGCCGTTTGCAGGTGCCCGCACTAAAACAGAGCCTTGACCTCCAGCAGCTGACACTCCTTTGAAAACAGATCTTTACAGTCGGTGGAGTTCAGATGGAGACATAAAGTGAATCTGAATGTTTCCCTATAAAACAAGAAATCTGGACACAGACACATCCTGGGGCTTCATTGAGGCAGCCCCAGAAAGCAGTGCAATCTGGATCCTGTTGCAGAAAATCATGCAGGCCTTCTGAGACCACCCAAGCTAGCTATGAGCTGACCCTGATCTCAGATGCGCAGACTCCATCCAGATCTCCGAGAGCAGCTGTGGATGGGAGTTGACGATGGCCCTCACCCCCTGGGCCGTGGGGTTCCATGTCCTCAATATCGGAACCCTCACTTGCAGAGGTTGGGGGATTGTCATCATACATGAAGAACCATAACACTACAGAGTTACATCTAAGGAACTGGTCACTGAGGATTAAAATAACCGGAGAGAAAAAGCCAAGACTCGGCACAGGCGTTAGCTGACACAATAAGAGAAGGTAGGTCTATGGCGCCCTCTGATTCCACTCCCCCATTAACCACCGGAAGTGGGGAATTAGCTGTCGTCACTTTTGAAAGGGCAGTATTTTGCAAAGCAGTGCAATAATTTTGCTCTCCCCAAATCAAAAGGAGAGAAGCTACCTTCCTCTCCTGGCAGCTGAGTCAGAAGATGAGATACGGGGCTAGTATTTAACTTTGGGGGGTTTCCTTGGGCCCACACCCTACGGATGTGCTTGCGCCGAAGCCATTTCCGCACACCTTCCCTGAAGGCAAACACAGACCTGAGGTGATTTGTGAGCCCCTGTAATCTCGGATATCAGCACTGGTGAGTGGAGCCACCTGTTCCTGCCCAGTGAGTCCTCCTTGCCCCACCCCATAAATCCCAGAGCCTCACTACACACGGGCCAATGAGGGAACAGAAAATATCCAGGCCTACCAGTGGTAAAATGGGGACCTCTAAACCCCATGCCTTGCTCCATTGCCTCTTGCCACCCTCCTCTGCTTCCCATACCACCATCTTTCATTCAGATGAGCAAGACATGGATCAGAGCCCAAAGACTAACACAAGTTCTGACTATGGGCTCTTGAGGGTGTAAAGCAAGAGTCACCTCTAGGACTTCAGTCTGGCCTGGCGTGGCCATGTCACCAGGGGGACACCATGATTGTGAAGTGTTTTAAAGGGAGGTGTGGATAGTTCCTCTGCAGCCTTCTTTGACACTTTTAGTCTTCTCTATTATTCTATGAAGTGAGACAATGAAAAGAAATTTTACACACAGAGAGACACAGACAGACTGACAGACAGACTGACAGACAGACAGACAGACAGACAGACAGACAGACAGAGCTAGTTTTGGAGGTCAGACTTCCAGGGACTTAGCCTTTCCTCTCACACTCTATACTAAGACTAGTGTTATGCGAGAGTTGAATGTGGTCCAAATAGGGAAGGGAAAATGGGAATATATTCCACTGAGGACTTCAGGGTCCCTTCCCAGCAACTGATAACATCAGAGTGACTGGTTAGAGGGTCAGCAGGAAAGTAGAAGGGCTGAACTGCCCAGTGGAATCTAACTGATATGTATAAGACACTCCAGCCAACAACAGCTAATAAAGCTCACCAAGACAGACCCTACAGAGAGGACAAAATAAAAATAACAAATTTCCCAGACTAGTGGAATCAAACTGGAAATTCTCACCAAATAATGGGTGGGGGTGGAGGTCTAAACATGTGGTTCATTAAGCATTCCACTTCTAAACAACCCATCAAGTGAAAGGGGCATGTCAAAAGAAATTTAAAGTGCATAGAACTAAATAAAAATGAAAACATATTTCTTTTCAAAACTCATAGGGCTCAGCTAAAGCAGGAGTGAGATAGTGTAATAGCTTTAATGTACATTAGAAATGAAATTCTCAAACCAATAACAAACTGATTCACTGATAAAAGATTAATAGAGTCAGACATGGTGGTACACACCTTTAATCCCAGTACACAGGAGGCAGAGGCAGGCAGATAGCTGGGAGTCTGAGACTCACTCTGGTCTACA